TACCACCGAGGCACCAAGTAAAACCATCGCACGTTATATTTAGTGTCATTTAATGATATTGTGACCTCTGAATTGCTCTATGCGCTGAGAACCCGATGACGTCAGTGTTCAAAATTTACTGTCAGATAGGGATGACACTAAGTGGCAAACAAGGGCAAACAACATCGTCAACAAATGCTCAAGTCTTTCCATTTCATTTCAAACACGACGTATTAGCAATTGAAGAAAACTATATACATCGGGATTTAACTGTAATTTAGATGTTGAACATGTAAATACATTCATTTTCACACAAACACCACAACTTTTCTATGATATTTCATTTTATGTACTGTCTGATAATTATATCCTTCAGAGAAACCGAATCAGACACAAGCGTATACTGAGTTGAACACTACTCTCCTCGAGGCCTGCAAGGTTGGAGATGTGGCTCGAGTCAAGAACATTTTGTCTGATGGCCAGGCGAATATCAACTCAGTGGGGAAGAACAACATGACACCAGTGATGCATGCTGCAAAGGGGGGACATGAAAAAGTGTTTGACCTACTTGTCCGGGAAGGTGCCAACCTGTCTTTACTGGATGATGGAGACATGAACATTCTTCATTTAGCTTGTATTGGGGGAAATGTTGACATTGTCAAGTATGTCCTCTTACAGAAAATTGTGGGCATCAACAGTCGGGATAAGGACGAGTGGACACCAGTAATGAAAGCAGCATTATACAAAAGCAAAACTGTGTTTGACTTACTTGTGGAAGCAAGAGCAGATCTGTTACTAGTGGGTGACGAAAAAGAAACCATCCTTCACGTGGCCTGTGACGGGGGTAATGTTGAGATAATCAAGTACCTCCTGACACAAGACATTGTGGGCATTGACAAACTAGATTTAGGAGGTTGGACACCGGTCATGCATGCAGCCAAGGGTGGACATGAGGCTGTGTTTAACGTCCTTATTGGTAAAGGAGCAGATCTGTCACCAGTGGGTGTCCACAAAGAAACCATCCTTCACATGGCCTGTGATGGGGGTAATGTTGAGATAATCAAGTACCTCCTGAAGCATGTCACCGTGGGCATTGACAAACAAGATATGAGAGGTTGGACCCCAGTCATGCATGCAGCCATGTCTGGACATAAGGGTGTGTTTGACGTTCTTGTTGAAGTAGGAGCAGATCTGTCACTAGTTGATGACTACAAAATGAACACCCTTTACGCTGCCTGTAAAGGGGGTAATGTTGAGATAATCAAGTACCTCCTGAAACATGACATTGTGAACATCGACTGTCAAGAGTGGAAAGGTATGACACCAATCATATGTGCAGCCACATATGGACATAAGGATGTGTTTGACGTCCTTGTTGACGAAGGAGCAGATCTGTCACTAGTGCGTCAAGACAAAGTAACCATCCTTCACGCGGCCTGTGGAGGGGGTAATGTTGCAATAGTCAAATACCTCCTGCAGCATGACATTGTGGACATTGACAGTCGAGATGGGAATTTTTGGACACCTGTTATGCATGCAGCCAGATATGGACATAAGGATGTGTTTGACTTCATTGTTGATAAAGGAGCAGATCTGTCACAAGTGGGTGACGACAAAGAAACCATCCTTCACTTGGCCTGTGAAGGGGGTAATGTTGAGATAATCAAGTACCTCCTGAAGCATGACATTGTGGACATCGACAGTCGAAATAAGGACGGTTGGACACCAGTAATGCATGCAACCAGGTATAAGAATGTGTTTGACGTTCTTGTTGAAGCAGGAGTAGATCTGTCACAAGTGAGTAGTGACAATGAAACCATCCTTCATTTTGCCTGTGAATGGGAAAATTTGGGGATAATCAAGTACCTCCTGACACATGAAATTGTGGACATCGACAGTCGAGATAATAGGGGCTTGACGCCAGTGTTGCATGCAGCAATAAACGGACGCAACGACGTGTTTGACCTACTTGTGAATTGGAAAGCTGATCTGTCCCTAATTGGTTATAACAATAAAAACATCCTTCATTCGGCCTGTGCTGGAGACAATGTTGAGATAGTCAAGTACCTCCTCACACACAACATTGTGGACATCAACAGTCGGGATGGGGAAGACTGCACGGCTGCAATGATTGCAGCACGTGAAGGATATGAAGCTATCTTCTTCTTACTTGTTGATCACAGGGCAGATCTAACAGTTATGAATGATGCTGGTGATAACATCCTAAATCTGGCTTGTGATGGAGAAAATGTACATATAGTCAAATATGTTTCCACACGACGCATTTTTGAGGGGTCGTACAGGGAAGACGATGTGTGTTGAATGCATTCTCTATCATATGCAAAGAAATGTTTGACCTGTGTGGAAAGGATCTGATCTCTTACCAGTTGATGCCAATGGTATCAAGTGGGTACTCACGTTAACGACGCCGTTTGGACAATCTGGAAGTTGCCCCATGAATCATTGTAATTCACTCTCCTCCATTAAAGTCCAACTTAACGTATATACTAAAGGTGTGCATTCTGGTTTTAATTTTTCTACTTCAGTACAATCGTCCAGCAGACGTTTACTACCTGCATTAAGGTCCGACTAATGGGATCGGGTGGTCAGGCTCGCTTTCTTGGTTGACACAAGTCATCAGTTTCCAATTGCGCAGATAGATGATCTTGATCACTGGATTGTATGGTCCAGATTCGATTATTTACAGACAGCCGCCATATAGCTGGAATATTGCTGGGTGCGGCGTAAAACTAAACTCACTCACTCACTATAACACGCAAATAGCATGTGCTAGGTTACGACTCTTTGACTTGAACAACCACATAATAACCTATTGCACTCTGTCAATCACTAAAACATATGATCCTTATTTTCAGTTGTTCACTGGTTACGAGGGGGACAGGCCTTCAGCACAAATATATGTAGAGTGTACATCACCCATAGGCCCCGAGGGACCAGTGAACAATGTATTTATCTTACTGAACACCTCAATGTTATTTTTAAACTGTTTTAAGCACGGGTATCATCATACTGGGGAGTACCAGAGTTAGGCAATGAACCAATTCTAGGTTTTCAGATGACATAGAATCTAGCAGACGACAAGAATAAAAACAAATTTATATTGTCTCCCCTCCATCGATTTAAATTCACTCACTCATTCACTACTACCTGCATACAATAATAAAGCAGGCCATACTACCAGGATAAAATGATCCATTAGCGAGTGAGTAAGTTTAATGTAAGTCACGTCGGCAGTATTTCAGCCATATTGTGACTTGATCAAGTTTTAAACGTTTACGATAGCTTTTAACAATGGATTTCAAACTAAAACATTTCAACAAAGGGACAGTGAAATAACTAGATGATCACAGACATAGGTCTAAAACTAGTACGTAAACTAGTACGTAAATGTCATTGTTCAAAGTCCGGCCACACACCAGGGATATGGGCGCTTACTGAACCTATATTACCTGTGTGGCATAACGCCTAGATTCACAACATCCCTCTGGCTACTGGCGATTTGTAGAATGTGAGTGAGTGAGTATGGTTTTACGCCGCTTTTAGCAATATTCCAGCAACATCACGGCGTTGTAGAATATGAAACGAAACAGTTAAAACTAAAACAATACGTTACTGCTAAAACCACGGAGAATGAAAAACACCAAAACACCTAACCATCAATATCATGGTACTTACATACCTGCTCCAGAGGACAATTATATCACGCTGCTTCAATCCCCTTTGAAAATAAAGCCACTAACATTCAAAGTTGTTCATTCATTCGTGCATTTAAAATATATACTTACTATTTACACTATATAGACATATTGGCCTTGATCATGTTCAGTTGTGTTTACCTGATGACCGAGTTCTCCTTGCCTGGCTAGATATACTGAAAGCCATTAAAAACGCAATTAGTATTTGTTGTCCTGAAACTTACGAAAGTCCTCCAGTGAAGATGTTTTTCTGCGATACAGAGGATGTCGGGACAAAAGGCTGTTATTCTGGCCCATTTCGAGTTCGAGTCCCAGAGCATTCCTCTCACATGAACTTTGATACTTAAAACTGAACCTTTGACATTTCTCGTAAACACAACCACATTCATGAAACACGTTGTACACATGCATTACCTGCACCCAGGCCCTGTAAACGCACAAGGAATTCTGGAACTCAATCACTTTGACAAAATGCCACACTTGACACAAGACCAAAGGAATCAGGTTATCGGTATGGTCAGCCAAGGTGCTTCAGATGTGATGATTGCCAGGCACTTTAATGTGCATCCATCCTCAGTAAGTCGACTCAGACAACTTTTTCGGGTTACCGGATCGTCAACCACCTGTGATAACAGCTCGACATAACCGCAATATCCGAGTTTCACACTTGCGATGATTAGGCAAGGAGGACAATTGGGACAGCGCCCAAAAGGTGCAAGGACGCCTTGCTGCCTTCAACACCCGGTGTCGTCACCCGTACCGTGGTCCAACCTTATTGCATCGCCACAGACTTGCCAGACAGCGATGGGCAGCAAATTGGGCCAATCTTGGCAGCAGGACATGGCCAGATGTCATTTTTTCAGATGAATCCAGGTTTAACTTATCCTTTGCAGATAGACGTCAACAGATTTATCGACGTAAAGGAGAAAGACTTGCGCCAAACTGTGTCCTTGAACATGATCGTTTTGGAGGGGGTGGTGTCATGATCAGACCACAGACCATCAGAGGCTGCAGACAATCCAACAGCTGTTCCTTAGAAATGTGTGTCTTTCAATGCCCCAAAGACTGCGAGCATGTCTTGCAGGGAACGGTGGACACACACGATATTGACTGCATGTGACCCCTCCTCTGTGTGATGTCGTTGTTGCGTCACTGATGTTGTTGTTGACTGGACATTTTCAGATGAAATTATTCACAGATGTTCACTTAAAACATATCTGCCAGTTAGGTTTATATATGTTGAAAAAAGTGTGAGTAAAGAAAGTATGAATGTCAAATTGCATTTTTAATGGCTTTCAGTATAGATTGATCTCAGCTCCCCAACCGGTGTGTCATAGCGGTAGGCCACACGGATTTCGGGGACGTTGGTGCGACTCACGTCATTCCCAGACACACATTCTAGGTTGAAGTTAGGACCCAGCAAGTGCTGTTTCGCCTTAAGTTGAAATACAAAGCATTATACAAAATGAATGTTGCAAATAGGAATTGTGGAGAATCCATCTCATTGTCAAACTCACGTTATTCTGTTTTACCATCTGGACGAATATAGTCGTAGTATTGATATCAGTCTCTCTTCATTTCTTCTGGGTGACCCAACTGAAAGCATTTTTGTCAACAACCTATGCACTATCATGAAAAAATACAATAACTGTTAATGCATGCTTAAACCGTTAAATTTTAACCATCTCCTAAAAATTATAAAACTTCATTATAATGTTGAAAAGTATATATTCAGTGAGGATAATGAAAACCTTTTGAGAAAATGGTCTGGCTGTTTTAAATATTTAAGCAACACGTCTACCTCTTCTTGTCATCTCTCCCCTTCTCTCGGTTGGGTACCCTAATGGATAAAGCATTGGCTTGTCACGCCGAAGACCCGGGTTCGAATCCCCGCATGGGTACAATGCGTGAATCCCATTTCTGGTGTCCCCCGCCGTGATGATGCTGAAAAAAGTTCATCTCTCTTCGTTCACACACCAACTGACACCAATGGACTGTCTGAGATGTTGTGTGGCACTTTGTCTTGTTTGTTGGAGGTCAACTAAGCAGAGGAGAGAGACGGACTGGTATGGCAAGCGGATTCGCCAGTCCAAACGTCAGTGTCGTCTTACAGAACACAGATGGCTTAAGAGTCGCCTAGTGGTACACCGGCTGGTATTTAAGCGTGTCCGTAATGAACACCACAGGATTATGCGTTCTGCGAAATCTGAATCCTGTCAGAAGACTGACTGACTGACTGAGTTGGTTTTACGCCGCTTTTAGCAAATATTCCAGCAACATCACGGCGGAGGACACCGGAAATGGGCTTCACACATTGTATCCATGAGGGGATTCGAACCCGGGTTTTCGGCGTAACGAGCAAATGCTTTAACTATTAGGCTACCCCACCGCCCTCTGTCAGAAGAAAATGCATGAAATCGGTGGCAATGTTCGATTATTTCATGATTATATTTTGGGGAGAAAGCAGGATCCACAGTTACCTAGACACCAAAATAGAAGGACTTAGCGGATTTCGTCAGTGAGTACTTTGACTGTAAAATTCAAACTAACAGAGACAGCTTTCCAGGTGTTAATTCTGTTGATGTTTCCTCTTCTCCTGACTGTGAATCTCTGCTTACATTGGAATTCGGAGTTAGCTGCAATAATCAACCAGTCAAAGAAGACTAGTTGCTCTGTTGATCCGGTACCAAGAACCTTTCTTCTGAAGATATCGGATGTCCCACTGCCCATATTCACAGCTGTGGTGAACTGTTCTCTGGCTACCAGTGTGTTCGCAGACAATCTGACATGGGTCGTAATCCATCCACTCCTAAAGAAACCTAACCTAGACCCCGCAGGACAGTGTCAAACATCACATTCATCTCCAAGATTACAGAACAAGCAGTGAACATCAGGATGAAGTCTCATCTTGACTCCAATACTTTATTGAATGAATTCCAGTCGGCTTACAGAATTAACCACAGTACAGAGACAACAGTCCTCAGTGTGGTTGATATCCTCAGATCTGGCATTGACAAAGGTAATGTTGGAGCCCTGGTCCTCCTAGATTTATCAGCGGCATTTCACACTGTCGATCACGACATGTTGCTGCAAGTGCTTGCCCATGGCAGGCAACTAGGAGGTACAACTTTAAGCCTGTTTATATCTTATCAATCACCCAGATATCAGTCAGTTTTCATAGGTGATCACAACTCAAGTCCATTACCCCTGGCCTGCTGTGTTCCTCAAGGGTCAGTATTTGTACCAGTACTTTTTGTTCTCTACACCAACAGTGAGTGAGTGAGTTAATATTTAACGTCACATCGGCAATATTTCAGCCATATCGTGACGAGAACATTTTACATTGTAATGGAATATGTATATATTATAAAACCTGTCATCGAAGGACAGTAAAACAACTAGAGTATCACAGATATATATATGTAAAACTAGTAATTGAATCAAAAAAACATTTTAACCATAGGGGACAACACAATCTTAAAATGGGCTATAGATCGCTAACAACTGAAGGTAGATCACCATACTAGGGACCATGGGGACTTACAGTACATTTGCTTCCTGCATGGGCCCTAGCTGGATTTATATCATCCCCTCAGCCGTTAGCAATTAAGACATATCTAGCCATACGTTAAAATTACAAATATTCTACGATTAAAAAACGGAAAGTTGAAATTTACTTTGAATGTTTTGGGACTTACGTACCCTCTCAGGAGGACAATAATTTTACAGTACTTTAACCCCCCTCGAGGATACAGCCACTAACAATCTCAGTTACTAATTCAAACTTCCAATCATAAAATATTTAGCTATTTACAAATCTGTTAACAAATTTAATTCTTTTAAAAAAGCAATAATTAAATGAGGACTTATATTAGTAAAAAGATCCTTCATAGTTGGGGATTTGAAATAGATATCCCTTGTGATGGAGTATCAACACAGTCAAGCAAGACATGCTTGACCGTGATTCGTTCATCACAAAGGGATACAAAACGGAGGATCCTCACCTTTTAATAGGTACTCATGCGTATATCTAGTGTGGCCAATACGACATCGTCGCATAATGACCTCTTCAAATCTGGACTGACAACCCAAGTAAGTGTAACCGATATAGGGTTTTATTGCATGTAATTTATTGATACCTACTTGAGTGTCCCACTTCTTTTGCATCAGATCACGGATATAAGATCTTATAGCAGCTTTGTAATCAGAGTATGGGATCAGAAGTGGTGTCACAGATTTGTTGAGTGCTGCCTTAGCAGCAAGATCAGCCATTGTGTTACCGGAAATGCCAACGTGGCTTGGTAACCAACAAAAGACGATGTCGCATTGGCCAGTAGCAAGTTCATTGTACAATTCAATAATTTCTAATAAAAGTGGATGTTTGCAAGAAAGATTTTTAATAGCCTGAAGACACGAAAGAGAATCTGAAAAGATGATATATTGTTTATATTTACGGTGTTTATTAATATATTTAAGAGCTGTTAGTATTGCGTTTGCTTCTGCTGTGAAAATTGAACTGGCATTGGGTAATCTGGAAGAGATTGTTTTGGACCCAATGACAGTGGCACAAGCAACCGCGCCACCATCCTTGGACCCATCTGTAAATAAGGATTTGTATGTATTATATTTATTTCTTAATTGACTAAATTCTTGTTTATACTGTAATTCATTTGTTTCTGATTTTTTAAATGTAGTTAATGTTAGGTCAACTTGTGGCCGAACCAATTGCCAAGGCGGAGAAGAAAGAAAACGGGAAGGAGCTATATGTTCTAGCTCAATGCCAGCAGCAGAAAGGAAAGGTTTCACTCTTATACCAAGAGGCGGAACAAGAGAAGGCTTCTTGTTATACAGATCTTCATAGAGTGGATTAAAGACACAGGTATATGCAGGGTTTGACTCATTGGAATAAAGTTTTGTAATATACTGTAAAGTTAATTTTATACGGCGTTGTGTAAGAGATGGCTCATCAGCCTCGACGTAGAGACTGTCAACAGGAGAAGTTCGAAAGGACCCAAGACAAAGTCTCAGACCTTGGTGGTGGATAGAATCTAACAGTTTTAAGTTGCTTTTACAGGCTCCACCATATACGATGGAGCCATAATCAAGCTTCGAGCGGACAAGTGATCTATACAGGTGTAGGAGGGTAGTTTGGTCCCCTCCCCACTTTGAATTAGAAACGACTTTCAATAAATCGAGTGCCTTCAGGCATTTAGTTTTTAGGGATTTGATGTGCGGAAGGAAAGTCAAATGGGAGTCGAAAATTAGACCCAAGAACTTGGCCTCCTTGACAACTTTAATGGGAATACCATTTAAAAATAGTTCTGGGTCCTTATGAGGCTTATATTTCCTACAAAAGTGTAGACAATTAGTTTTTGATTTAGAAAATTTAAAGCCATTTTCAAGACACCATTTATTTATTTTATTTAAACACAACTGCAGTTGTCGTTCAATAGTGTGCATATTTTCACCGCGACAAGAGATATTAAAATCATCCACAAATAATGATCCATCAATTGAATCATTTAAAACTTTTGATAAACTATTTATCTTTATACTAAACAATGTGACAGACAAAATACTGCCTTGCGGCACACCCTGATCCTGATTATAATGGTCAGACAGGGTTGAACCCACTCGGACTTGAAATTGCCTGTCTTTTAAAAACTGTGATATAAAAAGAGGCAAACGACCTCTCAAACCAAAATCATGTAAATCCTTCAAAATGCCATGCTTCCAGGTGGTATCATAAGCTTTCTCAAGATCAAAGAAAATTGATACAGCATGTTGTTTATTTACTATAGCATTTTTAACAAAGGATTCTAGTCGTACCAGATGATCAATGGTACTACGGTTTTTCCTGAAACCACATTGAATATTAGTTATAAGGTTATTGGTTTCAAGATACCATGTCAGTCTATTATTTACCATTCGTTCCATGGTTTTACAGACACAACTCGTTAAAGAGATTGGTCTGTAATTTGATGGATCAGTATGATCCCGGCCGGGTTTTGGAATGGGGACGACAATGGCATTACGCCATGAAGTTGGGAAATTCCCTGAAGTCCATATTGAATCAAAAATATTTAGCAATGTTTCCAAACATGGTTCGGGCAAATGCTTCAGGAGCTGATAGTGGATATCGTCTGCCCCTGTTGCTGTATCATGAGCTTGCTCAAGGGCGGTATGTAGTTCATGTAGTGAAAATAATTCATTATAATCTTCACCATTGTCTGAGTTAAAATGTAACCTGGTCTTCTCCTGTTGTTTCTGAAAGTTTTGAAACTCATGGACATAATTGGATGAAGATGAGTGCTTGGCGAGAGTTTCACCAAGTTTATTGGCAATGTCAGTTTTATCAGTTAATAAATTATTACCATCCTTCAGATGGTGAACAGTAGATTTAGAACCTTTGCCCTTTATTCTCTGAATCATGTTCCACACCTTTGACATAGGTGTGCGTGAATTAATTTTAGAAACATATTTCCTCCAAGACTGACGCTTATTCTGTTTAAACGTACGTCGAGCCTTGGCATTTAACATTTTAACTTTATTTAAATTATGGACAGTAGGATGTCGCCGAAAATATTTTTCAGCTTTCTTCCTGCTCTTTCTGGCCTGTTTACATTCATTATCAAACCATGGCTTACGAATATGTGGAACTGCAGAGGACTTAGGTATAGTTTGGTCAGCAATGTCATTGAGTAAATCGGAGAACAACTGTATCGGATCTTCACTGGTCGCAAATACATCATGTTTTAAGTGATCAGCACACAATGTCTCATATAATGACCAATCAGCCCTGGCAAAGTTCCTTCTGGATAAAGGAGGATCAGCACCAGGGCCGATTGTTTTGAGAATGGTGGGGAAGTGATCACTCCCACATAGGTCATCATGGACCATCCATTCAAATTCATTATACAAGATGGAGTCAGCAAGTGACAAATCCAGGGAAGAATATGTTCCCGTAGCTGGATGTAAATATGTGCTTGTATCGTCGTTAAATATACATAGGTTATTATCTGAAATGAATTCTTCAAGGAGTTTACCTTTATTATTTGTATGGGTACTTCCCCAAAGCGGGTTGTGTCCATTAAGATCGCCCATGAGTAGACACGGCTTCGGAAGTTGATCATACAGGTTTTGAAGATCAGACTGTTGAATAGTGGAAGAAGGAGGGATATACAAACTACACAGTGTCAACGCAATGTGTAAAGTCAGACGAACCGCTACAGCCTGAAGATTGGTATTAAGAGGGACAGAGCTATGGATAATACCCTGTCTTACCCAAATACAAGCACCTCCTGTTGCTTTATCACCTTGAGGAGAGAAACAGTGATAACCACTATATTGTCGTAAATTAAAAGAGTCTGTAGTTTTTATATATGTCTCCTGAAGACATAACGCTGACGGTCGAAAGTCCTGTATCAGTAATTGTACTTCATTGAAATTATTTTTCAGACCTCTGCAATTCCACTGAATGAAAGAGGTATGACTCATGTTGATGGTGGAAGTACTGGGGATCTACTTTTCCCAGTCCGAGGCGACTTACTTCTGTCGCGTGCACGAGGATGAGGGGAGACATCCATATCTTCCAGTATCTGGAATTTGTTGAAAATTTGTACAGGGTCTCGTGAACCCTTTTGTAATCGATCAGATTTTTGGGTGTAATCTACTTTCTGGCTTGCATTTTTCACAATAGGAGATGAAACTATTGATGGTGGATCAGTCTGTGACTGTGATGTCTCTTTTCTAGTAGTAGATGGTTTGATGACAGTGTACTTTTCTGTTTTTACCCACGTGATATCAGTCTGACAGTCAACAGACTTGACGTTTTTAGAAAGAGGATGTGTGACAGCTGCTGAGTATGACATACCTGTCGATGGCGGGGCTGCATTGAATAAAAGCTTTGCTTCCTGGTATGTTATATTCTTTTGTACTTTAAGTTTGACTATTTCATACTCACGTTTCCAGATAGGACAAGACTTGGATGAAGACATGTGTTCTCCATGGCAGTTCACACATTTTGGAGATGTGAGACAATCAGATCCATCATGTGCAGCTTCACCACACCGGTAGCAAGTCATGGGATTCCTGCAAGATTGGGCACCATGGCCAAACTTTTGACACTTGTAACACCGAAGTGGATTCGGTATGTACTGTTCCACTTCGATGAGACAATATCCAGCTTTGATACATTTTGGATGTTTGGGTTGAGAAAAGGAAAGCAAGTACGTGTTTGTTTTTTATAATTTCACCATTTCTCTTGGCTGTGAAACGTTTCACATTCGTGACACCTTGACTTTGAAGTTCGGTTTCTATGTCAGCCTCACTCATATCATAGAGCCATCGGTCCCTATCTCTAATGATGCCTTTGCTGCTGTTTAGGGATTTGTGAGGAGAAACTGTGACGTCAACATTGGCTAGGTGTCTTGTTGCTAGAAGAGTGGCAGATTGCTTTGCGTTTTACATTCGATCAAAAGGAAGCCGGATCTGATCTTTTTGACAGTTTGAACATCCCCAACAATTCCATAAATTGCTTTGGATGTTGCAAAGGGATTTAATTTAAGAGGTCCACCATCAGTAGACGAAACTACTAGAAATCTGCTCCAAGTATCAGGAGGTTTGTTTGTGGTATTGTCCTCATCAGAGAATGAGCATTCATCTAATGCACGTTTATGTTTTTTTGGTTGAGCCATGGTTAATTTGAGAAGGTTCACCATCCCAGCTCCCCACCCACCACGGAGTATCACAAGGACAATGCTATAAACCAGTGGGTCGCCGACTGGCAGCACCAAGGATACTGAGATGGTATACTCCAGCAGAAGACTAATTGAAAATTAATCAAACCACCAGATTGGCCCATGAGCCATCGCCTTCTGGGCATAAGACTCTAGGCATTTTAAATAGGATATATTTCAAAACCAATTTAATATTTTACAAACAAAAAGAGCCAAGACCTAAAGTCAAAAATGTAGTTCATAATATAATTTGTGCAAATAAAAGTAATGCACAGGGCTCGACATGACCAGCCGATTGGTTGAACCGGGCCAATTCAACCACCCGTCTAGGTGAAGTAAGGGTCGAAGTGGTGTATTGGGCAAAGGAACGCTGTTCCTGGAGCCCTTGCCCTCAACCACCAGAATCCCGTCCTCCACCGACACAGGGGCGCAACCCACGGCAAACGGGTTGGTGGACCTAATATCCCCCCCGGGTCCACAACGGGGGGTTGAAGGGCGCTTAGCGTGACCCAGCACCCACCACGAGGAGGTGGCCCTTCATGGGTGCCTACACCAACAGCATTGATCGAACGACACCCAAATGTTCAGGACTTTCAAACCTGAGATGTCATCACCCGCTCTTAATGACATCACAGCCTGTGCATCTGATACACATAGATGGATGATGAACAGGATGTTCAAACTGAATCCAAAAAAAAACAGAGGCCATCCTTCTAGGCACAAAACAACAGCTACAATCTATACTGGTTTGTCGATCTGTCATTCACAAATTGATTTCGTGCCATGTTTCAAAAGCTTGGGCATTGTTATTAACTCAAATCTGACCATGGAAGATCATGTGAACAACCTATGCCGGGCTGTCTACTTCATCGGTCAAATCCGTAGCTGTCTCACTGTTGATGCCACGAAAAGCATTATGCAATCACTCGTCCTATCGCGACTAGATGTTGGCAATATTGTCCTTTGGGGTATATCCACATCTTCCTTGAAGAAAATCCAAATGATACCGAAAACCGCCGCGTGTTTCAAGGATGAGCCACATCACTGCGGTTCTCAAGGCCATTACCTGGTTTCCTGTAGAGGCCAGGATACTCTGCTTGACGTTTAGGTGGGCACAATACCACCATACCTCAGTAAACGTCTCGGTGAACATCGGCCAGGAAGAAATTTCCTGAAAGTCCCACCTTACAGACTGGAGACATATGGACTAAGAGAATTCAGAATTGCGGCCCCGATGCTCTGTAGAATGACCTTCACTTAGAAATGAGAGGAATCAAGTCCTTTGACAATTTTAAGTTTCAGCTGAAACTAACTCTTCACCATCTAGTATGCCTAAATCCCATTCTGTACAGAGACTCATGGACTTCCCCCCTAATATCCAGTCTTTTGTAATGTATTTTATTCTATTTCGTGTTGCGCTTTGAGCATATGTTTTTATTGAATCTAGCGCTATACAAAACTACATTATTATGGGTTATAGTGAAAACGGACCCCAGGGAAATCGACCAAAAGAAAAATTGAGAAAACGGCGACTGCTGTTTGAGAAAACGGCCTCTGGGCCATTATATATAACAGAAAACTACATATATTTTATTTTGTTTTATTCATCTTTAAATCAATATCATAATAAGAATGCAACATCATTGATAACATAGTCATGGCAAAGTTTTAGGTTGTACATCTAGAAGTGGTATTTATGCATTACTTATTTAACACTCTTCATTTGTTTGTCTCTGAACCATGCAATATATATTATGATACTATATTTTGTTTTACATAGTTTCTTGTTATTGATCATAACTATGGTGATACGTGTAGTAAAAAGATACCTAGCATATATAAGAATCCCGTCAGTAAAATAACAGTATTTCAATTGTATCTTAAAGTGATATAAAGAGATGCCGGCTAGCTGATCAGGGGTGTCTGTCATCACCTCCTCAACAGTAGCGGCAGTAAAACAACTATAAAGCAGATATTAATTTAAAAGGAGAAATTCTATTTAAACTAAGTTAAACACTTAAACTATAGATTACAATATAAAAACAGGCTAAAGACTACCAACAACTGAAGGTAGAACACCATACTAGGGACCATGGCAGAACTACAAGATCAAAAGTTGGACCCTCCTCGGGGAACACAAGAAATGGGCTTCACACATCATACCAATCTGGGGAATCGAGCCCGGGTTTTCAGCGTGACGAAGGAACGCTTTAACCACTATTCGAAAGAAGAAACGCATAAGTCATTTTAAGAAGACGTCATTGCGTTAGTGTAAGGGCTATTATTTCATGTAATTTCAATGGTAAACAGGTGAAAATTCACACGTCTATAGACAAAGGGTACAATGTGTGAAGCCCATTTCTGGTGTCCCCCGCCGTGATATCACTGGAATATTGCTAAGCGGCGTAAAACCTAACTCACTCACTCACACGTATATAGAATAAGAGTTGGCCAACAATGTCATCACCCTGATACATCGTACCAGACAGCAACACGAAACACTGTGAGATGGGACACAACCAAGATGCACTGTGAAACAGGACACCAACACAATACACTGTCAAGCAAGACACCAAAACGATACATCATCAAGCAAGACACCAACACGATACACCGTCAAGCAAGAGTCATATTTCATCCATGGACGGAATCTAACCAGCTCGCAGGAAATCGATGTTTTCAGAAACGTTATGCCTTGGTCTCCTCACCAAGCATAACCTGGTGTCACGATAGTTTTCAGTAGAACGTTTCACTTTGAGATTCTTTCTTCACCATTCAGCTACACCTTCAAAACAACATGCAAATTGACGAATAAACATTGAAGTGAATTTTTGCTTTGTTTCTTAAGTACTGTTTACTTCTGGGAAAACCCGATAGTGCACTAAAATCCTTAGCAGTCATGTGATGAGAGACTGACTTTTAATTGAATTTGTTTAAAAGTATATACGATAAGAGGCCGATATGAGGCCAGTGTCATCTGATTTCATTGTAAGAGTATAGATATGCAGAAAGTATAATCGCAAGTGACAAGACTCTTCTTAGATCAGCGTCCACTCTGAGAAATATTTTCAAAATTCACCATCAAATAGCGAAGATACTAAGTGTTTGAGAAAAGAGTGACGACATCCTGTCCCACCGGTGGTATTCATAACAAACACATGCACAGGCAAGTAGCATCGTTAACAAATTCTCACGCCTGAAATGGATCTTCAATCAATTCACTTCTAATGTTTTTTACGTTCCATTTAGAACATCCAGGTGCAATTGTTAATAAAATATAAGGAAGATGTTGAAGATGGTAAATTGAGAAGTGTTCCCTACCTGTCAGGGGAGGTGCCCAGATGTCCTGTTTGGATTATGGAAATAGGAATATCTTCCATTAAGAATACTCAATGGCATTTTATAAAGTGGTCAGTTGCAAAATATATATCTGGGATTACTCATTCGTAGTAGAGTACAGATTCAGTACACGTCGAACACTTACTCTCAGGCACTTAATCAATAGCACTCAAGGTCAGCGATCTAACCCACTCAACCATCGAAGGTTCCACAAAAACGGAAAAGGTCGGACAACCAGTAATCTGGACCATGTACTCGGATGCCCCTCTGACAACTGTGAATTGGCACGGCTGCCGCTTGTCAGAGGGGCACACAGTTTTCTGCAATTCCATTGGATAAGATAAACTGGCAGAGCCGTCGGGAGGATGGATTTCATTCATTAATAATTTTCAGATAAATCTGGGGTGGAAACATAAATAAATAAATGTTATTGGTTACAGCACCACATCACACTCTGAAATAATAATGAATGAAACCAGATCAGGTGTCATTGATTTAGTCGATTTGCTGAACATGACATCAACTTGAATCATCGTAACATGGATCTCATCTAGAGTCTGTTTGGCTTCATTTGAGACACAAACTCTAATAAATGCAACAAAATCAAACTTTGCACAGTCACATCCAGCTTGGGTCCATGCAGGTAGCCAAAGTACTGTAAGTCCCATGGTCACTAGCATGGTGATCAGCCTTCAGTTGTTGGCGATATATAGCCCATTTTTACATTGTATTGTCCAAAAATAGTTTTCTACTTTTAAAGATATATGCTAGCTAGTTTTAACTCGTTTTGTGATAATCTAGAAATTTTACTGTCCTTCGTTGACAGGGTTTTATATATTATATGTATGTATTATGAATTTAGAAATAGTTTTAGTCACGATATGGCTGAAATATTGCCAATGTGACTTTAAATTTTAACTCACTCACTCACTCATTGCACAGTCACAGGAAATCGACTGACCAACTCTGATGATTTGCCTGATAATTTTTGACACCCAAGTAAATAAGTTGTTTAACAAATGATCATTATTTCGTTGTCACTTTTCGCTATTCTCATGAGGTAGGACCACTTGCTGGTAGAACAGCCAGGTGTGCGAGTTGTACGTATGAAATTGAAATTTCACTGCACACGCTTGTTGATTACCTGACTGTTTTACCAGCAAGTGGTCCCCCCTCGTAAGAAATAGCGAAAAGTGACAACAAATAATGACAAATTGTGTGGTCCAGACCCATGCATGTCCAGACCACCGGCACATTGCTGTTCAAAGCGTTAACAACAAACAAATATTGAACTCTCATCTAAAAAACATTTTAAAAAATTATACTGAATTAGATTTTCTTTCAATGGAACAGATACGGTTCTGATAGAATCTACAATTTTACTTATTAACTGTATGTGAAATTATAGACGTTTCAAGAAGGATGAATTCCGGAAACGGATCATGGTCAATAAAGAGTTCTCGATAATGCCTGCTGTATCTGTTTACCATAAGCAGTCCACACACATCAGTGTCTGAATGATTACCATCGTGGCAAAATATAATGAATATATCATTCACAGTGAACAAGAACTCGTTTATCTTAATGCAAAATCAGAGAATGTGTCTTTTGCTATTTTTGTTAGCATATGTCATTTTTATGGTGAAATAGTCGAAATCCCCACATGAGATTAACATTGGTTGACCGATAAGAAGCTGAACCATAATAGACCAGACTGTTAAAATATATATAAATGGCAATATCTTGAAAGTTGACTTTTGACATTTCATTTTTTTGGTCTTTTCTGTTCTACCACATTGACGATGGAGGTGATATTTTCGGTTGGTAAAACATATTGTTTATGAACAGAAAGATGACAAAGTGACATTTAGCCAGTCACGAGAACACATATAAAAGGACGATATCACGGAAAGGCTGCATATTTAATTGTTTTTGCAACATTTCATTTTTTCTTGTTCTACTGCATCGAACAGCTGTAAAAACAACAACATGACTAAGTGGTGTTTTGTCACTCTTGGGAATATGTTCCTAATTTTAATAGCGTGCCTCACTTTCGATGTGGCTACTTGTCAACTGCCAGCTACGTCTACCTACAGTTCGGTAGTCTTCAAGAACATAGGCATCAAGTTATGCCAAAACATATGTATACAAAGTGGCTTCTGTCGAGCTCTTGTATACACTATTCCGACTCTCACTTGTCAACTATCAGAAGTGGACCATGAATACTGTTGTGAATGAGACACAGTATTTCGTTGGAGGAAAGGACTTAGCAGGTGTAAGTTTCTCTGTGTTGTTTGTGATGAACGTTGCCTTTCCTCATTGTGGCTGTCATTATCTCTAAGCATATGCAAAAGGAAGGAGACTTCCATGTAAACGTAACCATTCGCTTACATCAATTGGAAAAAATCCATTCTGTCCAAGGAAGCTGTCATCCAAAGTCGGACTGAGGTCCAAGTTGCAAGACCCAAAACGTAAGTTTATGCTACATCAGTTGTTCAACCACAGAACTTGCGCACTTGAAAACAGAATTGGAATCATCGTACTCTGTCATAGCCATTTGTCATTTAAAGTCTGGCTGTCCTACATGACTAGTTTGTAGGTGTTCCAAGACCCTTAACCTGTTTCATGCCAATGTTCCCATATGGGAACATGTCATAAAAGGCTTTGTAAAAAAAAAATTCCGTGAAGATAAATTATTATTTTTCTTAACCATGTTGATCTTAAATAGTAATGTTTCAATCGTCAGACGTACATTTTGCCGGATCCAACCGAAGCAGATGTTGATTGGCTCATCCAAGTCACGTGGTCATAGTAAAGCACGGTAGCTGGTGCATAGGTAAACATAGACAGGACGTCACAGGTCAGGAAAGGTCAATGAAAAGTGTGTGTGTTTAAAGGCACTCATGCAGAATACCCATCATTGGACGAGAAAACAAAAGGAAAGTGTTATGAATAGATAGACAGTCTAGTTCAAAAGGGTGCGCGCAAGGACGAGGTAGTCATGTCACCCTGCATTGACTATAACGATGAATGCAGCCGCGGATTTCAAATAACCCGCGCTCGGCAGAGCGTACGACTTGAAACTTTTGACATCAATGAGTAATGAAAGCGTTTATTCAGTCCTTTATACATTATGCACTGTCACGTGAACAGTACCTCAGTAAAGGAACCTTATATTAGGAAGTCAGGAGAACAGTTACATTAGTTGTTTCTTGAAACAGGTTGATGCTGGAAGTAGGTTGTGATGCGAACGATATAGGGACTGTTGAAGATGAAAGTCATGTATGCTTCTATTCGAGGAATAGTCCTTTCAGTCAACACTATCCTGTGAAGATAGAAGTGGATGGGAAAACCTTTAACTGATCGGAGCAGTATTATATGTATTGCAAAGCCTTGGCATTTGGAGATACACTTATTGCTGAGCGTATTCTTAATTCATCATCTCCATCTGAACAGAAACAGTTAGGTAAACGTGTGAAGAATTTTAATCCAACCGTGTGGCGTACGATTAGTCCACAAGTGGTGAAAAAAGCAAATTATGCCAAATTCACTCAGTCTATGGAACTAAGGTCCCTGCTGCTGAACACATACCCCAAGGTGTTAGTAGAGGCATCCCCTTACGACAGATTGTAGGGTGTTGGCCTCTCTCTCTCGGATTCTAGCATTAGGAATGAACTAAACTGGCGTGGACACAATCTGTTAGGACAGATCTTGATTGAAATGAGGCAATGTATTTCCAGTGAGTAACATCGCTATTACCTGGAAATGTGTATTGCCATCCACCGACACTCTTAGAGAACTGTGCACAGCCCTAATCAATTGTTTACACATCATTCGACATGCTTAATCAATGCAACTGTGCAGAACATATCTGTGTGTATTGCAAGACCAACTTAACATACACATACCATCGCTTTTTAAGGCATAGCAACAAATGTGCTGTGAAGAAAAGAATGTCTTCTAGGATGGCCTCCTGCACGTGTAAGACAGTATAAACTCTTCGGTACTGTAGACTGACAAACAGTTTAACTCTCGCCAGCAAACGGATTGGACGTGAACAACATGAAGGGAGCGTCAGAGATTAGATTTGACCCTAGAGATATATTTAGAAAGACCACGTTGAGAAAATCGCGACAGAGAAAGAAACCACAACTAACCAAGAAGACGTCGCGGAAGGCGAAGAAGAGACCGGTAACAGCTAAAATGAAAACGGTGACAACCCAGAGGGGACAGAAGACAACACCCCAACCCATGAAAATACGATATATGTCAGACGCAAACTGTAGTGAATCGGGCAAAAGTTGCTTTGAAACGAGCGGAAGCTGACTTGAAACGTCAACAGTATAAAAGAAAGCTTGAACCCTGGTAATCTGGACACTTGTATTGGATCACGATGGGAGTGACTACCTGTCTGGACCGTGGGAAGACCGTCCAAATTCCAAGTGGATGACAGACGAAATTCGGAAAGACAAACACGAGCGACGCCATGCGGAGAAAACATTGCGATCGACTAGGCTGGAAGTGCATAGACAGATCTACCAACACTCTAGAAATAGAGTGAATGTTCTCATTCGATGAGCCAAGGTCACTGATAATTCGGAACACTATCAGTCAGTACAAGAATAACTCTAAACAGTTAATGGCAACTGTCAAGAAGCTTACTGATTCAAAAGCAGCCACCCAGAACACAAGAACAATTGATGAGTCCAAGTCGATGTCAAATGCTCTTGCCAATTTCTTCATTGACAAAAAAGACACAATAGTGGATGAATTATCCGGTATGCCAGAGACGCTAAGCAGTCCACTTAGTTTTGATTCACCATTCTGTGGAGATATATTAAAGAACTTTAATTGCACAGATCCAGCGGAGGTAGCTAAAGTTTTTGACACGGCACCCTGCAAATCATTTTCGTTGGACCCTGTTCCGACATGGCTCCTTAAGGGCAGCCTTGCTTCTGTAGTCCAGGGCCCAGTTTCACCAAGCTCTCGTAAGCCTAAGTTCTCGTAACTTTTCTCGTAGAGTCGTACCTCCTTTGTTACAGTATAGGAGGTACGAATGCTACGAGGAAAGTTACGAGATCTTAGGCTTACGAGAGCTTTGTGAAACGGGGCCCAGGTTGCTTCTTCTATCACAAACGCTTCTATCACTACAAGTACTGTCCCCAGTTGCTTCAAACAGGCATAGATAACACCACTACTCAAGAAGCCATCTCTTGAACCTTTGGTGTTGCACATTTATCATCCAGTGTCCAACTTGCCCTTCTTATCAAAGGTATTGGAAAAGGTATATACTTTCCAGACTGAATGAGCACATGAGTCGATATAGCTTGCCAGAGCCTTTCCAATCGGCATACAAAACATACCACAGTACGGAGACTGCTCTGGTGAGAGTACGAAATGACATTCTAAGATCGATGGACAAACAGGAAGTAGTGCTGCTCTTGCTGCTCGACCTCTCGGCGGCATTTGATTCAATAAACCATGCACTCTTGCTATCCAGATTGGAACGTGCCACTGGTATCACTGGTCCAGCTCTCGCCTGGTTTAAATCATACCTTGAAAACAGATCTATGTGTGTTACAGTAGATAGTGTTAAGTCAGTATCCCACAGGCTACGGCATGGAGTCCCCCAGGGTTCTGTCCTTGGTCCGGTCCTTGGTCCGGTCCGGTTCTCCATTTACACTGCTACTCTGGGAAATATCTTCAGGAATCATCAGCTGCAATACCACTGCTATGCAGATGACAATCAGTTGTATATTGCAGTTAAGCAAGGAGCAATATGTGAAGCCATTTCAATGCTGGAACGGTGCATAAAAGACGTGCAAAAGTGGATGACATCCAACCAACTAAAACTAAATAACAACAGAAAAGAATGCATCGTTATTGGCACCAAACAACAGCTTCATAAACTTGATAATTTTACCATTGATGCAGGAGGGCACTGTGTTTCCACATTGAAGCAAGTTAAAAACTTTGGAATAATTTTTGATAAAAATCTTTCTCCAGAGAGCCATGCCCTAAATATCTCCAGAACAGCAAACTTCCATCTAGCAAGCATTGGCAAAATAAGAAAGTATCTTGACCTTGAGACCAGCAGACTCCTCGTCCATGCATATGTGACCTCAAGGTTGGATTACTGCAATGCGTTGTTGGCTGGATCTAGTTCTATCTCCCATCTGCAGAGGATCCAGAACAAGGCAGCTCGCATTGATACAAGGACCAAACCTCATGAGCATATCACGCCTGTTCTAAAAAATTACATTGGCTCCCAATTCGGCTTAGGGTGGTGTACAAAGTCTTATAACTGACCTACGCTGCTCTGCACACTGATAACTCCCCTCTCTACCTAAAGGACCTGTTCCAGATGTATACACCTGGATGATATCTCCGATCTCAGAATATGTACAATCTCTCGGTTCCCTCAACATCGACTAAACTTGCTGATCGTGCCTTCTCCAAACTTGCCCCTACCTTGTGGAACAATCTACCATTTGATCTCAAAACAGCAAACTCTCACAAATCCTTTCCGAAACTGTCTAAAACTTTCCTGTTTAATCAAGCATATGATATGTAAGTTATCTACCCTGTTCAGCGCCATTGAGCAGCTCAAAGATGGAAAAAAGGTGCTATACAAATTAATTATTTTTATTATTATTAAGATGTTTACACGAAAAGATAATCTACAGAGACATTGGAAGCAGATGCACGCTCGAAACGTACCTCCTCTTCTGGATAACGACGCCCCTATTGTAGGTAGCGACCCTTCTCAAGAGAGACACCTACATCCTCCTCAAGAGAAACATTCTCTTCCTCAAGGGAAACACCCTCCTCGCCAAGAGGACCAGCAGCAAGAACGGTTCAGGTTCCCGAGTCCCTCGAATGCGCTCATTGTGGGACCCAGTGGCTGTGGAAAGTCTGTGTTTACCTCTCATGTGCTCCGACATGGCCTGACCCAACCCCAACCTACCCGCATTGTTTGCTGTTATACTCAATGGCAGCCCTTATATGAGGACATCAGCAAGCAGCTGCCTCAGCTGATCTTTGTAAATGGAATTCCCTACGATATCTTGGAGGAGGATTACTTTGATGCTGGCCAACTGAATGTGTTGGTCCTGGATGATTTCCTGCAATGTTGACAAGGCTGAGCTAACAGAAACTCTTAGACATGATTTTGGTCGCTGAAATTTTGGGAAGAAAACCCTTTCCAGCTGCGTTAGTGGAGGTACCAATCAATACCAATCTACTGCAAGTTATATAGCACCTCATCATCTTAATTATGTGATTGTCTAACAAACATTTCATTACCTAGCTCTTCCAGGAACATTCCTGCATCACCGATGTATGTGTTAAAGAAGGTTTTTTTCACTAAATTTGCAGAAATAAAAGATGTGCTGCAAAAACATAGTTTTGTTTCATTTTTTACGATGTTCGTGCCAATGTTCCCATATGGGGGCATACCGGTACCTGAACCGTTTGTGATATCACTATGAAATTTTGGGTTTTTCTTAGTTACACCATTATGAGATTGCCCAGTAAATTTGAAGTGTTTCTGACAATGGGATCTAGTACCGGTATGATAAAGGTTAAACACGAAATTAATATGGTACATCAGTTGTTCCACCACTTAGTAAAAGAACATATAAAATAATGGCATATACAAGACCTAGACGTCAACTGTGGAAAAGGTGTGTCCCGATAATGTATCTGTATTATCAATTCTATACGTAATTTTTCAAACATGAGGATGTGTATAAAATAATTTCCATTTGACGTCACACCTCTCCCATTCCTTTATACGTAACAGTCAGACTAATTCCCTTGCCAAAACTGCAATTTTGAGGATCTGATATGATATGAGCTTAGTAAATTGCGAAAGCTAGTACTGGTAAATCTCAGCACTGCTTTTGACAGCAATCACGGGAAGCTTCTCCTGGTGATCTGCAAGTAGGAATTGACAGAATTTGCCGGAACAAATCAATTTCCCATATGACTGGCCCACCAAAATCGGTTCACAGCAAAATATCATACTAAGTGGATCTGAACTATGACGTCATTGTAGTAGTAGTAGTTTATTTCAAAAAGCAATATAGGCCATAGGCCCAGGTGAAACATGAAGAGTGAGTGAGTGAGTGAGTGAGTGAGTTTGGTTTTATGCCGCTTTTAGCTTTAAGCTGTGACTGAGATTGCTGGTGGTTAACATATTAAAGGCACATATCAAATGCCAGAATTATCAGCAGCGGAGCGGGAACGAGCATTTAATGTGACAGATGTGGACTTCGAACATGCAACATTGAGCATTCGCTCGTGGGTGGACATAGCGCGGTGTCTATTGTTATTATCGTCAAAATCTGCATAATGATATCAGCAGCCTCTGTAGGAGAATATGTAAACATATTAGGTTGAGATATAAAGATATGGATAGTATACTAAGATCAAGACATGTGTCCTACTTACTTCTGTTTCAGGTCCTAGCTGGCTCCTGTCAGTTGACGACTTATTCAAATATGAGGTGTCTGGAGACCCGAACTGGAAAAACTGATTGTGTGAAAGGTAAATGTGCAGCATGTGAAATCTGATTTGCTAAAATCGTCCATTCACAAACTTACAATTAGCCACACAATGATTATCTTGGACCGCAAAATTTAATTGCACTTAATATTCCCGTTTTATTGCTAGACTTTGCATGCGTTTGTGACTGATAGATTCACGTGGCGTGACCACAGTTCACTATTTGATAGTACTTCATAAACAATGCCTGTGATATAGTTAAAACAGCAGACTGGTGTCATAGTTACCAGGTGGAGTCATCCTGCAGATGACATCCTTACCTTGCCTCGGAGAGTTTATTTCGTATAAATAATATAGTTTTTATTTATATAGCGCCTGTTCCAACAAATTTCTCAGAGGTGCTCAGGCAAATGCAATGCCAAAAAGCTGTATTTAAAGCATTTGTTTGAACTAGGGAATAAAGATAATTCTTAAAGGTTTTTAGAATCCGATTCATATCTCTTCACCTGTGCACAAATACCACCGAAGCACCACGTAAAATCCCCCCACGTTATATATAGTGTCATTTAATGACATTGTGACCTCTGAATGAATTGCTCTATGAGATGAGAAGCCGATGACATCAGTGTTCAAAATTCACTGTCAGATAGGGTAGTATACACAATGGGGGTACGGGACCAGGTCATTATCCAAGGCTTTACTTTTACTTGGATAAATCCCTAATCCAGTACCCCCATTATGTATACTACTACTGAGGTGCAAGCAAACTTTGATGAAAATCGGTTGAATAGTTTCTGAAATATTGACTTTTAAGTGAGAATGGGCTCAGTCGGGAAAAAGGCTCGGGTCGCCTTGGGGTTGGTTGCGCCTCCGAGCGCTGTGGGCGGATGAGTCGCAGTGCAAACACGTGTGTCTCTTTCGGCTTGGTGTACGGGTTGTTGGCTGGCTACATTAAGCAGAACAAATAGGCATGCAAGACTGATAAAAAAATCATGACGAGAAACACGGTGGGTGATGTGTAAGGGACTGTGTCGTGAGGTATGATCATCAACTCCTCTCGGACGAATGCTCTCGGCGGCCCGTGTTTCAAGTAGTACAAGTTCGGTTTGCCATCTTTGATGTCGACCAGGTCGATGTTGTACATTTTCATGGACCATATCGGATCTGTGGCGCGTTTTCTGCTGTCTCCCTCGTATTCGCCCGGCTGGTATAAGTGCCTAATGCTGACACAGTCCGGTAATGTTTTCTCTGTTTTATCCCGACGTGCCGCTGGTGACGATTCCACAGATTTCATTTTGATGGCTTTGACGGCCTTTTGCCAACGAGTCTGGTGACTCTGTTGTTGATGACATCCAGCATTTGTAGCAAGCGTACAACCCATTCCGTGTTTCTGTTTCCGGGATCCATTAAATCCTGCAAGTATTGGTGCGAGAACAGGCGTTCAGCTAGGGTGTGATTGAATCTCTCAACAATGGCTTGGCTACGATGAGCTCCCGCTATACCTCGTCTCACCTGGACTTTGTGCTTGGCCAGCAGTTGTGACATGGCTCCCATCAACTCGCGTTCAAAGGCTTTGGCGACTTCATTCAAATCTTTGCTCGTCAACAGTTTGGCTTCCTTGTAGCAACTGGCGACATCGACGACTGTCAGGGCATACTTGTAGGTTTTACGCCTCACCCTGTCGTGAGGGAGAAACAGGAGGTCGGCTTCGTGGATGCAATTCGGCGTTGAATTTTCTTCTCGGGATGTTTTTTAAGCCAGGCTTTTGCGACGTCTTCTGAGACTCAAGCGGCTTTGGCGAGTTTCGGGATGTCGTCCGAGCCTTTCACAGTACCTGCGTGGGCTGTAATAAATTTCCTCCATGATGTATGTATGCATGTGTGCATAAGAGTTCAATTATTTGATGTGTCCGTTGCTACTCAGCATGTTCATTTGGTGTTTAAACGTTTTATTCTTGAACAGGGCTTCCTTGAATCTGGCGTGCTTGATGTGTTTTTTCACCGGCGTGCCCGCACATTCGTCCTTCATCTTGTCAAGCACTTTTTTGTTGACTTGGCTGTGCGTGGGGTGATTTTTAGGGTAGTCACTGATGTCGTACAGGTGCATGTGTTTCTTAATGTCTTCGTACACATCCTCGGTGTGAATTTCCATGAGCAGGGAATCCGTGTCCATGTACAGCACTTTGCACCTGTTGTCGTACTGCTTTTTCAGCTCATTGTAGTATAAATCGTACATCAAGTGTTTAGATAATTCTAGGATGCTCATCCCCACGTAAATGGGCCGGTTGAATTTGATGTGGCTTTTGTGCATGTGCAGCACTGCCAAGTCGTCGTCGAACATCTTGCTTCGGTTGAACGTTGGGCTGGCTATAAGTTTCCTGAGGTTTTCTCCCTCGCTGGATCTGAGTAATTTCACGTTTACGCATCTTCTCAAATTCAAAAATTTTCTTTTAAGTCGCTCATGGCTTGTTTTTTGCAGATTCGTGTTCAACCGAATGTAAGGTTCCATCCACGGCCTTTGATTGAACTGGAGCGACCTGTGTATTTTCGTGAGTTTCATTCCAAGCGACAAGTACAGCTGCAGATACGATAGTGAATGACGTGTTTTGTCTTAATCATCAAGTTTTTCGACGTTAAACAGGTCGTTGTCTCCAAGCAAGTTTCGTTGATATTCGGACATCCAGTCTGGGTTCACCACCAATCGTTCTGGAGCAAGTGGATAGCTGTTGTGCGATTCGTGTAGTTCTGTGGGATAGTCCAAGTCCACTTCGAGCATGTGGCCTTTGTCCAAATCCGGCGCGATGCTATTCATGTCAATCATTTTGGGCGAGGAGACCCATTCGAACCCCCAGGTGGGGAGATACTGACTCATGGCCCAGCCGTACAGGTTGTTGGCATCGAGATAGAGGATGTGTTTGGTCAGTTTGCCGGGGTCGTGACCGGGAACGTACTTGTTGTTGGCTTTCGCGTATCGCTTGGATGCCATTTAAATCCCGCCTCGTAGGTCTTTCTCCACGAACAGGTGCATGTCATAATCCGTCAGTAGTTTCAGTTTCACAAGGCATCCATAAAGAGACCGGGGGAGGAGAAATACCATGCGGGATCCAGGCCATACTGTTTCGAGCACGTTTTTCTGAATATCTCGAACACGTCTGCCATCAGCAGCACGTCCGTTTTCAAGTACAGGTTGCGGTAGTTGCCCAAATTCTTGCAGTCCAGTTTGTCCCTACGTTGAGGGTTGGCACGTAATCGTCCTGAGAGATATTGGAATCGGTCAAGTTGCTGTAAAAGCGGTCGATGGGAGGTAATTGCATCTCGTTGACCCAATCGTCCAGGTTGAGCTTCAGGTTGCACGCGTTGTGAGCGGCACCTCTGTACTTACCGGTGATGTGGCAGTGATCTTGAACGGTATCGTTTTTAAGACGTCCCCGGCACACGTGGCAATATAAAGCTTGTACATGAAGGAACCTGTCCCACTGTGTCATGCGTATGGAATTAGTGTTTGACAAAGCTTTCCATATTTTTCTCTCATCAAGTTTCAAACACGCGAGAAATCGTTCGGCCGCGTGGGGACCTCTGCAGAAAATTCGTTTTCCTGTCGGATCGAACGACCACGTACCCGAATCCGCCGGCTTTGTGTTCTTGCCTTTACGTGAAACTTTTTGGGGGGGGCCGACGGTGTCGACGGTTTTGATGAGGGCTTAAAAATCGGCGTAGATGACGTTGGGCACGAGCATTTGATGTTTCTGGTTGAAGAATTTTAGCGTGTTTATCTTTACGTCCAGCCGTCTCTCCCACGCCTCGGCAATCCTCCCAATGGGATTCCAGCAGGTCGGCTCACGTAAAGCCGTGCAGGTATCTTTCGCAGAAGTGTTTCTTTTCCTTATGCTTCGATTGATCGTACAACAGTCTGTTCAAATATTTTATCCACGTGTAGTGATACTTGTCACCTTGCTGGAACATGAATATATTGTTCATTTTGCGGTGTTTGTTTGTGAGGGAGCTGATCCTGTGCACGATCATTTTATTCCATTCGTGTACGAAGAAATGGATGGCTATGTCGTTTTTCGATTTTGGTGACCATGGAGTGGGTTCGTCTATGCCGTCCCAGTTGGTCCCATCATCTTTGGGATAGCTCGAAAGTCTGTCTGAATGTGCTTTGTCCGGAAACTTCGCGGATCTGATCGCAACCCTCATGCAATCATCGCCATTGTTCTTGACGCTCATCATGTATGGTGGCAGGTCCAGGTACGACCCTAGCCCGAGCCCATGTGCGTGAAGCATTCCAGGGATTCTAGTATCTTTGCAAACGAGGTGTCGATGGATGTATCGATGGATTCGGGTTGAGTCGCGACTTCTTGCTTGACTCTGAAGTAATGCTGGATATGCTCGGTGGTGCCTTCCGTCTGCTGTTTTTCCAGTGACATTCTCACCGTGAGTTGAAATTTGAGGCTTCCCAGATCGTTCAGTTCCTCGCCAACAAAGTCGAATCAGGTTTTTTTTTGTCGACGTCCAGCCTCCAGCCTCTCAGACATTGACCTATGACGTGCTTCATCTGCACGAACCGTAGTTCGACGGGTTTGGGTTCCTCTTGCAGTTCGACGTGCTTGGCTTTCCTCATGTGCGAATAACCTCTGAGCCGACGCTCCTTCGCTCGGAGCTTTAGTTGTTTCACCGTGGGCTGAGGAGGTTCGTTGATGATGCCGAGCAATTTCAACAGCTGAGATTTCCTCAAACGGGACTTACCGATCACTCTGCGTTTTTTGGCAATCCTTTTCAGTTCTTGAACGGTAATCATCGTTGCTATATCAATGTGTGAAAAACTTTTTCTAAATGAAAAAATAATTATATTCAGATGCGAATTAAAATCTTTAATATACTGTAAGCCATTAAAAACGCAATTGGTATTTGTTGTCCTGAAACTTTTTCCTGCGATACAGAGGATGTAGGAATAAAAGGCTGTTATTCTGGCCCATTTCGAGTTCGAGTCCCGGAGCATTCCTCTGACATGAACTTTTATACTTAAAACTGAACCTTTGACATTTCTCGTAAACACAACAACATTCATGAAACACGTTGTGCACATGCATTACCTGCACCCAGGCCCTGTAAAAGCACAAGGAATTGTGGAACTCAATCACTTTGAGAAAATGCCACACTTGACACAAGACCAAAGGAATCAGGTTATCGGTATGGTCAGCCAAGGTGCTTCAGATGTGATGATTGCCAGGCACTTTAATGTGCATCCATTCACATCCACAGTAAGTCGACTCAGACAACGTTTTCGGGCTACCGGAAGTGTTGCTGATCTTCCGCGACCTGGTGCACCCCCTGTGATAACAGCTCGACAAAACCGCAATATCCGAGTTTCACACTTGCAAAGTCGGTTCCAAAAGGCTGATGTTTAGGCAAGGAGGACAATTGGGACAAGTCAACATCATTTCAGCGCCCAAAAGGTGCTTTCAACATCCGTTGTCATCACCCGTACCGTGGTCCAACCTTATTTCATCACCACAGACTTGCCAGACAGCGATGGGCAGTAAATGGGGCCAATCTTGACAACATGACATGGCCTGATGTCATTTTTTCAGATGAATCCAGGTTTAACTTATCCTTTGCAGATAGACGTCAACAGATTTATCGACGTAAAAGAGAAAGACTTGCGCCAAACTGTGTCCTTGAACATGATCGTTTTGGAGGGGGTGGTGTCATGATCAGACCACAGACCATCAGAGGCTGCAGACCATCCAACAGCTGTTCCTGAGAAATGTGTGTCTTACAATGCCCCAAAGACTGCGAGCATGTCTTGCAGCGCACGGTGGACACCCACGATATTGACTGCAAGTGACCACTCCTTTGTTTGATGTCGTTGTTGCGTCACTGATGTAGTTGTTGACTGGACATTTTCAGATGGAATTATTCACAGATGTTCACTTAAAACATATCTGCCAGTTAGGTTTATATATGTTGAAATTAATGTGAGTAAAGAAAGTATGAATTTCAAATTGCATTTTTAATGGCTTTGAGTATAGGTTGTTCGCTATAGCCAGGGGTGAAGTCAAATCTCTAATAGGATTTTGATCGCTATGTTCGGCTGCGAGTCAAAATCTCTAGTAGTTTGTTTGGTGTGCGAAGTATGTCTCGCTGTTAACTGTTAGCAACCCCGTCAATACGTCGGATAGTTAAACTTTCAGAATGCACTTTAGATTTTTATTCTGAGCAGTCGGTTGCGTTAGTTGAGATAGTCTCTTTTCGTCAAGTAGATGAAATGGCCTCTTACCACGTCTGCTCTGTTGGCTTTGCAACGACAATAATGGCATTTCACACCAACGCCCCACTCTTCACACGTGTAATTCACGAAATCCTTTTCGTATGGACATCATGTGTATGACGCAATATTCGGTGGTGCATTTCCTGCCGCAGGTTTCGGTTTTTCCGAGCAGCGTGTACTTGCAGTTATACAGTGCACACCTTCCCATCTTTATGCACATAAATATATTTTAGTCTAATTGTTTGGCGATCCAACACGGTCGCCGCTAGACCCAGCGCCACAAAAATCAGTTCCCTGTCTTTTTGTTCTGGGGAAGGCGTGTAAACCTGAGAGATGGGTTCGACTCTGTTGCTTGTGAGCAGGTAGTATTCTCTGATGGCGTCGTTGACGTTCTTGAACGTTTGAACGGCGTGTTTTTTCACGAGAGTTGGTTGTTGATGAACTGTATTCTCTGCACGCGTTTTGGGGCGTACTCGGCTTGCAGTTTCTCCGAGGCCAAATCGTAACGTTTCGTTCCGCTTTTACTTAAGCCGCGTTCGACATTCGTAATTTGGATAAGAGATAATTGCTCCCAGAAAATGCCAGGGTGTTGACTAATGCACCACCAACCATCATGGCGATCGTAGCCATTTCTTTTTTTAAAATATTATAATATTCCTTCAAAATATTTTCTGGTATAATTCCTTGTTTCATGAGAATGTCCTTGGTGGCCATTGCCATCCCTAAGTCCATGACGAGCATGCCCATGTCCTGCACATTGAAATCGAGTTAATCGTAGGCTGTTTGAGAACCATTTTCGTTAAGCGAGCGCCACCTACGGTTAGTCCGGCGACCATGCCGGCATGATATACATCTTTGACTAAATATGTATATATTTTTTTTTATAACAAAACATGCGGATTTATTTCTAATTGCATCATCTGCTGCTGTTGCGGTTGCTGCTTGTTATTATTATATAGCAACAACGACGATGACAACCATGCTTAATCCCGTTGCTCTGGCAACAATCCACGGAGTATTATTATTATTTTGGTGATGCTTGGCTAAACCACCTTTTCTACTTTTTTAGCATTGTTGGTGGTAGTGACTAGTCGTATTGGTTTTGTCGTTACTTCCTCCTCCGTCGGCGTTGTCGTTTCCTCCGGGTTCATCTTATAATTGACAATGCTTTGCTGTGATGCTCGCCGCAGTTACCATGCCATATCTGTGGTACAGCACACAGCTGACGGCCCTCAAAGCCTGGTCGATGAAGGGATCTTTCTCAAGATCTTCCCACAGGTAAAGTCGACGTTCCAGCGGAATGGGAAGGAAGTACAAGGCTACGCCGGTGTAGACTTGCGTTATGACAAACCCTATGGTTTTGATGGCTATGTCGTTTTTCGATTTTGGTGACCATGGAGTGGGTTCGTCTATGCCG